GTGCCACCCTGTCCCCGTGCCAGGCCAGCGCCACTCGCCGCTGTCCCAGTGCCACTCGCCCGCTCAGCAGCGCCGCTCGCCCGCCCCGCAGTGCCCGTCGCCCGCCCCTCCGGGCCGCTCGCAGTGCCAGTCGCCCGCCCTCCAGCGCCGCTCGCCCGGCCCCCCGAGCCAATCTCCGGCCCAGCAGCGCCGCTCGCCCGCCCCCGGGCCCTGCCAGTCGCCCGCCCAGCAGCGCCGCTCGCCCGCGCCGCCCCCCAGCCAGTCGCCAGCCCAGCAGCGCCGCTCGCCCGCTCCGCCCTGCCCCTCGCCCGCCTCGGCGTCCCCGCACCGCCCGCCCGGCGAGAGGATGGAGCTGGGCTACCCCAAACCCTCCAGCCGCCACATCAAGGCGGGCTTCCAGGGCCGCCGCAGCTACTCGGAGGTGACCAACGTGGCYCTGTACCAGCAGAGCCGCTCGCCCTGGCTGCAGCCCGAGCCCTCCACGCTGCCCAAGCACCGGCCCTACGGCGAGCTCTACCTGGGGGCCGCGGGGGCCCCGCTCAGCGCCCACCAGCCCTTCGACGAGCACGTCCGCTTCGAGAAGCAATCGTCGGACGAGGAGGAGTGGGCGCTGCCCAGCCCGCCCAGCCCCGAGGCGGGGGCGATCCGCTGCGCCTCCTTCTGCGCCGGATTCCCGGTGCCCGACCCCGACCCCGCGCACCGGAGCGCGGCCGCGTACGCGCGGGCMGAGCACGCCCAGTCCTGGCCTTCCATCAACGTAAGAGAGACCCCCGGTGCCCCCGCGGGGTGTGGGGTGGGCTCGGGGTGGTCGCGGTGCCCCCCGTTTGTCACCCGGGAGGGTCCCCCGGGGGTCGGGCGGGGGTCTCAGCTCCGGCCGTGCCCCCGCAGCTGCTGCTGGAGACGGTGGACTCGGAGGTGCGGAGCTGCCCGCTGTGCCAGCTGGCCTTCCCCATCGGCTACCCGGACGATGCGCTGGTCAAACACATCGACTCGCACCTGGAGAACAGCAAGATCTGAGCCTCGACCCCTCCCCACCTCTGGATGCTGCATGGAAACACAGCGGGAGCCGCCGGCTCCCCAAATACCTCCGATCTTCAGTAGCTACGGAAAGACTGAGCCCCCCAACCCCCGGCCCGGAACCTCCAGGAGCCCTCTGGAGCCCCTCGAAGCACCCCGGAGCCTCCCCAACCC